CCGCACACAAAACCTGCCAAAACTCCGAGAGTTTCTAAACCCCGCGACCGGAAATGACGAAACGACAAAGCGATGCGAAATGAGTTATTATTTTACATAACTCCGATGATTTCATTCGGGGACTTGAACGCCCGTTTAAGCACGAAAGCGGGGAGATGCGCTCGCTTTAATTGTGTGAGATTTGAATACGCGGGGTGCTATGTACACGCGAGCCCGCAATTAGAGGAAACAACTGCCTCGCTAATAATCAAACCGCCTCATTCAAGTGAGAAAGCCGATTTAGATACGCGGTTTTCGCGAAGGACGGACCGCGAGAGGCGAGAGAACTCGCGCGACGAAAGCGAAGAAGAAACTTGGCGGAAGGGGGGAGCCGGCGGATTTTTTCCTGCACTTTCGTTTTGTGCTTCACTTCTTGATTGAGTTATTAATTCAGCGATGTTATCATAACGAGGGAAATTACAAACGTCTTATCCTGGCGGTCCTCTCTCCGAACTGTTCGAGCGTTATTCGGACCGCATTTTGCAATTAGGAACTATATAATTCACTGGAAAAAAAAAAAAACACATTGGATCTAGAGTCTAGACTCTTGAAAACATTCACAAGAAAAAGGACTCTTGATACAATCAGATTTAAGCTTGAATCAAAAGGAAATCCGCTCAAATTAAGAGGCTTGGTTCTTGATTTAAGCAAAAATCCGATTGAATCAAGAGTATTTTTTCTTGTCGATGTTTTTAAGAGTCTGGACTCTAGATCCAATGTGGTTTTTTTCCCAGTGTTTCTGGCTCAATTTAGAAATGACGTATGTACCATTAGTTTCCCTAAGAACTTAAAAGTTTCTACGGATGAGCCAGAGATTATGGTGCCTGATTGCAAAATATAGTCTATTCCATTTCGGATTCGCGACGATTTCGTTTGCTTCACGCGTCGTCGGGTGCGGAAAATTGAGCGAGACTGATTTTGGGATTTTATCCTTTTCCCGAAAAAAATGAACTATTACGCTAGGGAAAATATAAATGATAGTCCTGAACAAAAATTTATGATCAGACAATTCTCAAAAGAACATTGTAGCTTCAGTTCATCAAAGCTCAATTCGGCAATACAGCGTTGCAAATTTTACGTTGTTTACCGATGAAAATTGCTACAATTTTGAAGTTCCTCGGTTGAAAGGACAACTTAAATGAATCCCTTTTTTACACTTTGGGATTAGGTGATAATACTATGCGTCATAATTTAGAAAATAAAATGAATAAAGTCTTTGACTAAAGTTATTGACTGAAGTTATTTTTTTAACTGAGAAACTCTAAAATATTAGCACGGTAATTATATGGAGAAAAATGTAAACTTCACAGCCCTGATTTGCCAAAACGAGCTTTAAAATCAAGTCATACCTCCATACACTTGTAATTTTGCTTTCTTTCATGGCGAGCTAAAAGTTTTCATTTGCGAATTAGAAAACCGCTAGTTGTCTACATTTCACTTTCGGAACTTTCCAATGTGTCCGTAGTTTCAGGAATATTTTCAACGAAAAATCACGAATTAATATGCACGGTTTCCGACTCGTCCTAGTCAGATATCGATCGATGCAAACCGCCAGATAACCTTCACCTGGAATGGAGAAAGCATTCGCGTTTGCGTAGCGGGCTAATAATAGAGGAAACGTGAAAACTATCGAAGGATCATAATGTGGAAAGTGACAACTGATAGATGAGCATCGTGTGATAAGCAGGAGATGCGCTATATGCTTGTTCTTGACGGTGCTTATTACTATTAAGTGACCCGCGAATAACTAGTGAGTATCTATCGGTGCACTAGAAATGACTTCGACGACGTTGTACGTGACTTTCGGGTCTCGAAGTTGGTTGCGCGGATCATTAACTTTAATTTGGGTTGGCATCTTCGTCGACCATTTTCACTTCTTTCGTTGCTGAATAATTGAGGAGTATGTTTTCCACCGGCAATTTGGAACTGCATGGCTACACGCGGGGGAGGAATGAAATCCTCACTTGAAAGACTTACTTTCTTTGTTTTCACTTTCAATCGTTTGAAAGGGATTCAGTTCGTGTTTAGATTTTATAAAACGGATTTATGGCTTTTGTTTAACAATTCATCGCAGGAGATGTGTAATTTTTCAAATCTCGTGGAAAAAAGTCTTATGCACAAGTAAGTATGAATAAAGAGCAGGGTGTCTAAAACTTTATTTTTTCATTCTCACATACGATATTTATTCTATATTTCCCCTAATGCACAGGCAAGGTGTCCTCTTAATTCCTTCCAGATTTTCTTGGAAAATAGTTTTATTTTACCTCGGGGCGGAAAAGAAACGAAAAAAATTTTTTTTTTATTCTTTTGTAATGGGCCTGTTGCAAACTTTTGCTAGAGCAAAACTAAGAGTTGTTTCTTACAGAAAATGCCCTAAAAATCACGATGAGCGCATCGGCAAAGTCTGAAATTCACTCATAACTTCACAATCTGCGTAAGAAATTTGCGGTTTTTTGAGCTTCCCGCTTCGAAAACGATACTACGGTACAGGTGAACATTTTGTTAGAGGAGTCGTTCCATTGGCGGCAATACTCATCATGGCCGACGCCAGTCCGCCAAAACACGTGTGATGGGACGAGATAACACCTGAACAGGATTAAACCACATAACAATCGGCGTGTTTACGTTCATATTTTCCTCGCCCGCCTTAATTGACCTTGAACTCTCCTTGAATTACGCGAGGAACTGCGCAAGCGTCGGCCATGATGAATATTGCCGACGATGGAGCGACTCCTCTAACAAAATGTTCACCTGTGCAGTGGTATCGTTTTTGAAGCGGGAAGCTCAAAATAACGCAATTTTCTTACGCAGATTGTGAATTTATGAGTGCATTTCAGACTTTGCCGATGCGCTCATCGTGATTTTTGAGGCATTATCTATAAGAAACAACTCTTCATTCTGCTCTAGCAAAAGTTTGCAACAGGCCCATTCTTCAAAACCAATTGACGTCAATTGAAAGTAATATGCTTTCAGGGCAAAAAGATAGAGAATTCCCGGGTTTTGACACGAGTTCACTGGCAACTCATTACTAACTTTGAACTATAACTTTCCCAGATAATTTCCCCCTTTTTGGGTACCAGGTCCTAAGTTCCAGTTTGGTTTTACAAGTCCTAGTGGCCATAATTAAAGGAGGAAACGATTTTGAAAGTATCGTTTCGCTATGTCCATACGTTTTTTTCCTCCTCTTTTTACAACATAGAAGTCTCACGATCTTAGCTACATTGACATCGCAGCGTAATTGGTTCTGTCCACTAAACTCGGCCTATATTGCCACACTAAGGAAGAACGCTGTGTAAACATTCGAGCGTTGCCAAACTTTTCCCTGTTAAAAATTTATCTTTTTCAAGAAGACTCTAGTTTTTCATGTAAGCGAGGAATTTAAATTTTTCGTAGTGAACGCTAAATAATACGATTAAAATCTAAGTTGAGAATTAATTTTAGTAATTTCCTATTCTACGTGAAATTTCGGAGTAGAAACAAGTATAAAAGTGCTGAAACTCGTATCTTGTCTACATTATCAATGCTACAATTATTATACTTGAACAAAAAAACTGAGAGACTTAAACGCTGGGCTACAAAAAACAACCATTTGGATTCCACAGTTTCTGCGGGCACAATATAAAAACAAATTCAAGATTCAAGTTCATTCAAGCATTCCAAAACACTATTCCTATAAAATTGACTTGAAATGGANGGGGGGGGGGGTTTGAATTCTGAAAGAAATTCGGCAATGACTAGAAGTTCCTACGGCGTTTTTCCTGAACACTGCAGCATAGGCATAGATCGTTGCTCCTCTGATGTAACGACGTATCTTTACTCTGGTATGAACCCCAGAAAACACAGATATATACGGAGAACAGGGTTCACGTGAAAATCGAAGTGCGTCCTTGCGTGTACGTCTGAGAAGCGACAAGGTGACGCAGCGGAGCCTGTAAATCAGTCAATCGCCGCGGTTTTCGTAACAGTTTATTTACGAGCGAACGACATCTCAATATGTAGCGCAAAAGCGTGTCCGCTCCGGGAACACGGATCGACGCGGGACACGAGATGCGGGGCAGTTTCGCAATGGATTTCTAATTTTTACCGCGCCGCGTTTCCTGGTAAAATGCGCTGGAAAAGTTCATGCATAATGTGTCTGCGCTGATAAAATAGTGCGTCGAATACTCCGATGTGAACGCACCTCGAGCTGAGCTCTACCGCTCGTACAACTCCACGCTTCCCGGGGGTCGAGAGGAGGACGGAGTCGAGGTTTTACATTTGCAGAGCGAGGAGTGGTGCGTTTGACCCCGGTGCGGCCGGCGGGGGGCGTGCGGTCCGGTCCGGTGCCACATTCCTTGGCTCGGAGTGGTCACTGCGGCCTGAAAGTTCTTGGCTCGGACTCGTTTGAATGTCTGATTGTCTGCTCCGCGGCTCGCTGCGTCGCGTCGGTCGCGACGCTGGATGCTGCCCTAGGCGGGTGATGTTCGTTGCTTGTCGGGTGTTGCGAGGTCCGAGACCTTTGTTCCAAGATCAAACTCCACTCCGTTCCCCCCATTTTATTCACAGGGTGTCTAGAATTTTTTAATTCTGAAAAATCCTAATATTCTCCTGATTTTTTCTGATATTTTATAAAAAATTCCTGATTTTCTCATTTTGAAAATTCCTGAAAGACGGCGCGACGACTCCTGGCACGGTAGGCAAAAAGCAGTAAGACTTCTCCGCTGAGGAGATTCGCGTAAGAAAAATTCCTGATAAAACGTCCGATTTTACAGATTTTGCTGATTTTTCCTGATCGGCCCATATTCCTGAAATTTTCCGGTTTTTCCTATTTTTCCTGATGCTAAACACCCTGATTCAGTAAAGCTCGATGAAAACACCGGATGAGACATAATTTTCCAGCATAGCTCCGTTGAAAATGTTTCAAAATTTGCTTGTGTCAACTATTTCTGAGGTGCACTCATCTTCTTGTTTTTATGTTGCAGATTCATCTCCTGAGCAGCTGGATTTGACACCTTCTCGCATGCAAATGAGCTCGGTAAGTTCCAATCACTGTCAAACGGGGTTGCCACAGAATTTAGAAAATGAAATTCCTTGACCTTCCACTGATTTCCCTAACAAATTTTGGTCAAATTCCCTAAAAATCACGGATATGCCACACAATTTAAAAAACGTAATTTGAAATAGTTATCACGCGAAACAGGTTGTTCGAAGTATCACAACCATATTACAGAAAGCAAATAAAGGTGACTTAACAATTTTTCCCCAACACTTACGTCATTTTCCCTGACATTTCCAGGTTTTTCCTGACTTTTTAAAATATCCTGACATTTCCCAGTTTTTCCGGTAATCCCAGACCTTGACAACCCTACGTCTAACGTTTCATTGATGAACATCAATAAAAAAGAATCAAGATCTTTTTTAGAAAAAAAAAATAAATAAAAAAAATAACAGATTGTTTATTACTGGTTGATATAAAAGTTAAAACTGCTGAATGCAGCCTTCAGGCCTGTTTTACATTTTAAATTCCGAGGCCTAATTTGTTTGTTTTTATGTACATTATGTTTGTATTTTTGTGAACCCCTGTATTACTTTCTTAAAGGTCACTTAATTTCTAATTTGTTGCTCGAAGGTCCTCTTCTTTCTTGTCGCTTATTGGTTGGTTGCTTTCCTCGATATTGCCGCAGAAGGAATTTCGTCGAGGGAGGATGTGATCTTCTTCTCGTTCAAATGGCAATCAAATCTGCACTTGACATTCCATTCCAGGTTTCCAGTGAGGGCAAAACTTCTTGTCTACAAGACGGACGCGCGCAGATCTAACGGAACGCACCAACTCGATCGACTCGGGCTGTTTTCGGGAGGGAAATTAGCGGAGCCCTCGCAGAGGCAAATGACCCGTGACACGATCTAATTGAATTAAATGTAAACGCCCCCGCCCGCTCGCTGCGTGACGCAGCATGACGCAACGGAATATTTCCGCGTAGACTTCCTCCTACGCTACAACAACACCGAGCAGACTCCTCTTCCTACAGCTAGCATAATTAGTCTCCCTCTAATTTTGTTTGAACTCGGAGGTTGGGGTTAGAATGGACGGACCCGATGTCGATAGGAGATGATTGTTGGCTGCTCGGCTGGAAAAACCCCGGCCTGGTGCTGACGTTGAATTACGTGCACTACGCTGATGGGACGCGAAAGTTTGGTTTTATCACGATGATTATTCGGAATGTTTGTGGAAGTTCCGCTACTTGGCGATGAATAATTTTCGGCCACACAGTTGAAAGCCAGGAGTTCGTTTCCTTGATACTCCTAGTTTACATGTCCACGCACAGTGAGTCGAGTCAATAGGAGGATCGGACAAAATTTGGATACTTCAAACACTTATAACTCCGTTTATACAAACTTTAGTGTTCCAGGATTGGTACCATTGGTTTTCTCATAAAATTTTCATTTAAAAACAGTCCTAAAAATTTGAAATGTGGAGAAAAAACATCAAAACTTGCTGTTTTATTAAAAAATTTCCGACGTTTCCGATTGACTTGATCCATTGAGCGACGGTGAAGCTCCTAATCCACGTAAATTGTTCGTGGTGTCTAAAAATCTTCGCTCCTACTTTATTTTTTTAGAGACGAACAAATGAACATCACTCTCTAAAGTTTTTTTACGAATTTACTTCGCACAGAAAGGAAAAATCACGGAAGCTTTTGAGGATTGACGATGAGTTGCATTGGAAAAGTTCTCCATTTGAAAAATAAATTAAAACTGGTAATTAAATCTCTAAATATAATGGATGAAACAAAGATCAACAAAGATTCTGAGACACCGCAACCAAGAAAATCCTTTTTTGCACGCAGTGTTTCAAATTTGGCAACGCCTGAAGGCTCGTACGGCGTTCTTCCTTTAGTACGGCGGTCTAGTTGTAATCCACGCAAGAAGACTGTGAATTCTCCGTGCGTACGATACTAGGCAACACCGAATCTGCGGTGATTTTTCAAGCTTATCCCTGAGTCTTTTTCTCACGTCTGGAGCCGGCTAAATCTGATTTATTATGCACCGAAAGAATGGATTTTGTTTCATTACCCTTTCGACTCCGCGCGGTCGCAGGAGCTCGGTGCTCGGTGCAAGCTCTAATGAGAGCCACTTACGCTTTCTCCGCGACCAAGCTCCCGACATGAGCGCATGATTTAAAATTTGGAAGATGAATTTTTAAGAAGCAGTGCACTTGGTAGGCAGTCTGAAGAGATCATAAAGCTTCAGGTTTGTCATATATTCGGTATAACGGCACTTACTACTGCCAGATTGCGCACCTGTATACACGATGTGTGTCATTTGGACGTATTTCTATCGAACAGAACTATGTGCAGGTGAGAAATATGGGGTGTGCTCTAGAAAGCTGGATGAGAAATGATGTGATCAGGGGGCGTGATTCCTTTTGAAGAATTGAAAAAGCGGGATTTTATATTGAGCCGAAAGGCCAGATTGTGAGGTCTCAATGGAATTAATTAAAAGTATGCTACCAGATGTCTCGTTATCTTTACTCTACAGATCACTAGGTCAAAAAAAAAGAAGACTTATGATGGAACAAGGTGATGAAATACACTGGAAAAAAAAAAAAACACATTGGATCTAGAGTCCAGACTCTTGAAAACATTGACAAGAAAAAATACTCTTGATTCAATCGGATTTTTGCTTGAATCAAAACGAAATCCGTTTAAATTAAGAGGCTTGGTCAAGCTAGATTCTGATTGAATCAAGAGTACTTTTCCATGTCGATGTTTTTAAGAGTCTGGACTCTAGATTCAATGTGTTTTTTTTTCCCCCCAGTGTAAAGTTGGGTCCAGACCATTTTGCTATGGAAAATAGCCAAAAAAGTTAAGAAAATTCGATTACAGTCAAAACGAATTTCCCATTGAAAATTTATCATGGAATTTACCATAGTTCTGGTAAAATTTACCATACTTTTTTTCAGGGTAGTTCGTACAATAGTCTTCTTCAGTGACGAAAACTTTAGCGCAGAAATTTAAAAGGGGAATTTCGATGCGGCAACAGTGCGAAAGCGGCTAAGGACCTAATCGTATTATGATCGTGCGATGAGCCGTCGATGCTCAAAAAGTTACCGCAATTACGCGGCTGCGACGAATCGGAGGAGAGGAGGGGCGGTTCGACTTGGAAGAAAAACTTTCATTTTTTATGGTAATTAATTATTGGATCGTCCTCAGCGCCTCTTCGCCGCTCATCAAAGCGCTCCGCTCTTTCGAGCTTGCCCCCCATACGATTCGCTAGCTCTCGCGCAGTAGTGGAGATTGCAAACGCTGCTGTGCTAAGTAAGAACGCCGTATGAGCCTCGAGAAGTTGTCAAATTACCTTTGATAAAATACAAATTTCCAGGGAAATCTGTGAATCATTTTCCTCCGATTTTTCGAGGAATTGTATTAGCGATCAGATCTAAATTATATGAAAATTTCAAGAGCAAATATTCATAATTATATCCTTGAAAATAGACTTTTAATTCGAGGAAATTTGGCAACTAATTATCGTGACAGCCTTAGTGTGAAAATTTGACAGCCTCGACATCGATGATTCGGTTCAGCTACTACATGTTCTTCACACTTTTGAAAACACAGATGTTTGCCAAAGCCATTGTATTGTGCGCTTTGAATCAAGTAGAATGTGAACGAGACATTTAAAATTTCCGTAGCGAGCGCGAAATAATATCGTTAATATCTTGGTTGGGAATTGATTTCAGTAATATCAAGTTAATTCTTCGTGAAACTTCACAGAGAAAACTTGTATCATACTCTTTAAACTAGCACCATGTCAACAAGGTCAATGGTGCAATGCTTATGCTTGAACTAAAAGAGTGAGAGACTTAAACGCTCGACTAATAAGAAAAAACAACCATTCGTCTGTACTTCAAGCGGACAGGCAATAAAAACAAATTCTTGATTTAAGTTCATTCGAGTGCATGCTGCATAATTAACTTGCAC